CTAATATACCTGTATGGATAAGTGAGAGAATTTGACAAACTTACTAGTAGAACTAAGAATACAGATGAGTTTTTAAAATGTATTAGAGTTGGCATCACACCATGTAGAAATTTTAACATCCATAACATTGGCAAGAGCGGGTGCTATAATAATGCAAAGCCTCCTCATAATCAAGCAGTTTTGCTATATGAACAACTGTTTGCTATAGGAAGTCCACAGACAGCAATGTTTGGAGGGAGGTAGAGCCCAACAGTGAGAAGAATTTAGATGACCACATGTTGTTCTCTTGAGAGATTAGGAAAGTAAAAATGGAAAAGAGTAATTTAAGTCAAGTCCTATGAGAAGGATGAAGTTTCATCTTCCATAGAGAGTAACCTTTGTTAATATTTTTATGGCTTTCATGTGGATCAGGTCTATCGGAAACTAAGGTTCTATGGCTTTGCTACATCATTAAGGAACCATACTTTGACCTAGCTCTCTTAACTATGTGCCAGTGTCACTCAAAAGTCTCAGTGAAATCCACAAAATTCAGTACTCTTTGGTAGCATTTTCCTAGATCTGTGATTCTTCTGAACACAAAGAAACTGGAATACAGTGGATTCCTGAGAGTCATAGAAGAGAATAATTTTTAAAAATCCAGACCTAACAATTCATGTGTTAGAAATTGGTTGTAGATGTCAGACTTATCCACATAGGTTATAGGTGAGCTAAGATATTCAGCCCAGGGCACGAGCTAGAATAGCGAGGATTACTAGGTTGCTCACTTTAGGCTGTGAGGTCTCCTCTTTTACCCCAGTACTGTTACAGTATTATCTTCTCTCAGCCATGATGGGCAAAACATCACTGCATATGTTCCTTGTTATTTTGGAACTGAAGGATTCTTCAGAAGATTCTGTTCACAAATTCCAATTCTCTAAATGAGATCAAGTTTTTAATACTATACACATTAAAGAAAGAACATCTAATTTAATGCTGCATCCGTGTAGTAATTACTTGATATTTTCCTAGGTGATATCTGAATGGAATATGAAATAGAAAGTTGTCTTTGTTCCAGTAAAATGTCCAACATTTGATGTTATTTCAAAAGTTATTTGGATTTTTTGCAAGCCATGAAGTTTGTAAAAAAATGCCCGTGACAGAGGGAAAAAAATTGCGGTATTGTGTCTCACTAAGGTTCATCGAAGCCTGGCTGTCACAGAGTTTTTGTACTTCCTCTAATGAGGTGTTTGCTTTCCTTGTTGCACACCACAGATTAGGGTTTTGTTCATCTTTAAAAAAAAGGTTTTATAATTACTGATTTTGACAAGTCTTTATACTGGAAAACAAGACATAGTTAATAAAAGTGGCATAGGTACATTAGAAAATTATTCTATTAGGGTCATTAAAATGTTGTACTTAGAACATCACTGTTAAAATTTCCACAGTCATTCTCTGATGCCTTCAAAGAATACTACTATTCATTGTGTTTTTCAATAATGCTGTCTACCACATTTTTAAAAGTTTATTCAAAATACTACATGCAAGCTAATTTAATTAATTTTGCATGAAATGTGAAAGAATCCATAGAAAGTAAATGAAAGAGGGATATTGTTTTGAAATGGGACTCCTCCAATGTTCTCTAAGGCAGTGGCTGCTTTTCCATGTCACTAAATGCTGGCTGTTATATTGAATTATAGAAAGAATCTGTGGGGTTTCTAGTATAACTTTGCTTCATGGATTTCATCTACTATTCCAGAACCAACGCAGAAGCTCCTAAGTCATAAATCCACATTGTTGTGCTAGGAGAATTTGGACTCTTTCCATATTTGCCTGATGATCTGCTTTCTAAACAAAATTCTTTATAATTTCCGTGTATATTTTTCTTATCGGGTACCTATGATCTCTAATTATGCTTTGCTATTCCTCTTTTTGTTTTCCATTTAAAAAAATACATGTGTGCAATTTTTTTTCCTGAATACTAATTTAAAATATTTACATAGATTCTTTTTCCAAAGAACATGCTGTGTTTTGTTTTCATCATTTCATTATGTCTTCCACGGTTTTGACTTTGGAAAATAAACATTGGGGAACAGAGGGTAAAAGAGTTGAAGCAATTTCCTTAGTTCATAGAGGCATAACATAATGAATACCCAAGTAACGTATGTCTTAGTTCTTGCAAGTGAAAAAATACTCTACTGTTGACTGGGAATCAAGATCTAACAGAAAAAAAAAAGTGTTAAGCTAGTAGAAGTAACATGGTAGCATGTTACAGTGACTCTGGTTATGCAAATGAAAGTAATTAATATTGAATGCCCACTATTTCAAGAGTTATAAGGATTTTAGCATCTTTCAAGATATAAAAGCTATAGTCTCTGACCTTTTGGAGATCACAATTTAGTTATTTTAATTTTTTTTCATCATTTTACAGACCTTGCTGTGAATAATTTAGCGTTATGAGAAATTAAGATCAGTGCTTTGTGCTTATAGTAGAAAGAACTATCTCTGTGTTATATCAGATTAATCAATTGGTATGTTCCTCAATGAATTTATTTATAAAAAAATTCCATGTGCATGGATTGTTGAATACAGAATGTCTAAGAGAAATACTTCCTCATGAATAACACCAAAAACAATGCAGAAACCACAAATATCTTGGATAACAATTAATAGAGTATGTTTCTTCTTACTCCTACTCTTATTTTTTTTGATACTTTTTGATTAATTGTTATTTATTTTAAAAATATCTATTAAAGGGGTGCCTGGGTAGCTCAGTCGGTTGGGCGTCCAACTTCAGCTCAGGTCATGATATCACCGTCCATGGGCTCGAGCCCCACATCGGGCTCTGTGCTGACAGCTCAGAGCCTGGAGCCTGCCTCGGATTCTGTGTCTCCCTGTCTCTCTGACCCTCCCCCATTCATGCTCTCTCTCTGTCTCAAAAGTAAATAACATTAAAAAAATCGAAAATATCTATTAAAAACTAAGACATTTATGTTAATACAATTAATATAGCAAGATATTGGATGAATAGTAAAATCTCTTCTCCTTCTCGACTCCTTATCCTCAAACCCCAGAGGTGAATAGCTTTAACATGTATATGTATACCTTCCCCAAAATGTCAAAGCACATATGCACATACGTGGATATGTGTCTATTTGTACTTATCCTTACCTATATACCTTTGTAAATTTATATTTATAAGCTTATATTTATAAATTCATACTATTTATGAATTTATATTTACACATTCATAATATTTCCCACTTGGAGTGATAGTCAGTAAAGCAGAACTGCCAAAGCCCCAACCAATGACAGCAGATGTCTTGGCTGTTCCTTGCTACACTGAGGTTAACAAGATGGTCTCAGGGGTGAGGAGGCATTTGGGAGGCTTGGGCAGCAGCGATTTACCAACAAGTACAGAAGTATTTCAGAATTTTAATAACTAGTTTTTCCACAACTGTGCCTAAAAGACCAATACCGGTCCTACTTTCAATCATTTGATGGCTTGTGTTTCCTCTCCGAGCACACCTGTGCCCATGTTCTCATAAACATCACAAAAGACCAGCATCAGCACTATTCGTGTTGTCCCCTTCTATTTTTAAAACTTTTCATATTTTTAGGTTCATCCCTTTAGAGTTGCCTATGGACACTGTACATGCATTCATGAAGGGCTCATGTCAAAACTATGAAGCAGACGAAGTTTATTTCTAGAACATTTCTTTCAGAATTTCCTCTGTGTTCCCTCTGTGGTCCAGTGGGCCCTTTAGTCACATTTTTGTGGGCCTGTCCCCCCACTTGTACCATTCCAGTGATTCTAATTCCTCAGAGCTTAGAGTTTTCAGTCTCCCCATATACCATAGTATTTACTAAACAGAAACATATCATGTTGCTTTATTATTAGTATACTTTTTATGTGTCTCATTATTACAATATATTATCAACCCATGAATGGTAGGACTGTAATTTAAACTAGCTTATATTTATCTTTCTACCCAGGGCATTGCATATAAATGTCACTCAATAATGTTTGTGCATTATTCTTTAGGACTTCATTGGTTATGCACCTTCGCAAAACATCTAGAATGCTTTCTTTTTATGCCTTCATACTTTATGTAGATTTCAAAATAAAGGTTTGCCACAATCCCCTCAATTTTCACCCTGTTGATATGTAGTAACTTCATGTCTTTCTTTATCTTCCTTTTTTAAAATACATGTTTACTTCTTGTTCAGAAAGTATAGTCACCCTTTATTTAATTTTATTTCAATCAGTTGTCTGCAGGTCCCAGAATTTCTTCTCCATTATTTTCTCTTTGGGTGTTGTAAAGTAATCGACATTTATTGAGTATTTACAAGTCCTTTTCCAGGTACTTTTTATACATTATCTCATTGAATCCACATTGTCTGTCAGTACTGTGCTTATTATTAACCCTAATTTGTAGGAAAGGAAGCTAAAAGTTGGGAAAGTAAAATCATCTGCCCAAGGTCACATAAATACTGAGAATTACAATTTGAACACAAGTCTATGCCTCTGAAGCTCTATGTTATTTTTGCTCATCATACTAATTCCACCTACATGGTACTTTTCTGAGGATTAGGTGATATAAGTAAGTATATTTTCTAAACAATCCAACACTTATCCACACATGGAGTTTCGGACTCATACTTTATATCCTCTAATACAGTAGGGTGAGTAAATTGGTGTTTAATGAATGCTTTAGGTGATCATGATTATAATGGAATTTAAAAAATCAGATGAAATGATGTCAATTATTTGTTAGAGAACTAAAATCTAATCTTAACCCATTTCTTTTCAAGTCATGGCTGTCAAGATGAAACACGGTATTTTAGAAAAAGGTATTAAACATGAGCATGTAACAGTAAAATCATTTCAGAGAACATAATAGGGTTATAGAGTAAAATCTGAAATAAAACTTACTGTAGCATTAAGCTCTATATTTGCAAAACAAATGGTGAGAATACTTTGGAATTCAAAGTTACGTGTTTTTGTGGTCACTCTTCTCCAGGTGTTCCAGATTGCTTATGTGATTGTGAAAGCAGCTAATTCCCCGCGGCCTGGAAACTGGATTTTGGAACGCTCACTTGATGATGTCGAATACAAGCCTTGGCAGTATCATGCTGTGACAGACACGGAGTGTCTAACACTTTACAATATTTATCCCCGCACTGGACCACCATCATATGCCAAAGACGATGAGGTCATCTGCACTTCATTTTATTCCAAGATACACCCCTTAGAAAATGGAGAGGTAAGATGAGAAAACTCACCATAAGTACATTTCAGAGGGCAAAGTAGGCCTGTCAGAAAGATGTGAACATATCAGTAATTAATGTCAGGGAGATTTTAAAATAGGATTTAGCAGAAGTACATTTAAATGAGTTATTAAATAAAAAGGGAAAACCCAAGGTGATTAGAATTTTAACTACCTTCGTCCAGTGTGTGTGTCCCAACCTCAATAAAGATCAGAGAAGAAGAAAGGGTTTGAGTTGGAAAGTCAGTGATTAATTTTACATATTAAAAGACTTTCTTTTGACAATGAGACTGCTCATAATTGGAGAAAGATTGAGATCCTCAGGGAAGCCTTAGATCTGTGTATATTATGGTCTCAAGAAGGGGACAAAAGAGGGGCGCCTGGGTGGCTCAGTGGGTTAAGCATCCGACTTCGGCTCAGGTAATGAGCTTGCGGTTTGTGAGTTCGAGCCCTGCGTCGGGCTCTGTGCTGTCAGCTCAGAGCCTGGAGCCTGCTTCAGACTCTGTGTCTCCCTCTCTCCCTGCCCCTCCCCCATTCATGCTCTGTCTCTCTCTGTCTCAAAAATAAATAAACATTAAAAAAAAAGAAGGGGACAAAAGACCTGAAATTTAGGAAGAAATATAGTTGATATGAAGGACCTAAATCAAAGGGAATTGTGTTGGTTTTTGCATGTTTTTCTGCTCTTGCCACATAGGGAGGGGTACGGTTGGGTTATTTGTGTGGTTTTGGTCAGGATTTGCTTATTTCATGCTTAATTCAAAAGTGTTCAGCTTCTTGTAGCATCTTTTATCCTTGGTTAAGATTTTACATTTATTCAAATCATGGCTTCACCTGTTACCATCTGTATCATCTTGAGTCAGTGACTTAAGTTCTCTGTGCTTCAGTTTCATCTTCCATGAATCGGTAAAAATACTAATAGCCCTTATGCCATATAATCATCAAGCAGATTAAAAGAATCATTATATTTAAAGTGTTAGAACAGTGCTGACAGACCTGTATTAAGTGTTCTGTAAGCATGAACTATTTTTACTGTTGCTGCTGTAATAATAATAACTATTATTGTTAGTAGTCGTAGTATTGTAGTAGTTAATAGTAGCAGTCTCCTCTCAAATACCCAAACCTTGACTTAGTGATTCTCTTGCATTCTCTCATGGTATTTTCCTAATCTTTCTGTCTTCGGTATATGTGGCCGGGCTACTTTTGTCCTATCTGCTTACATGTATCTCAACTTATACTCATGTCTGATAGTCACTCCTCTCTATTCCACACACCTGAAGGCAGTATCATTTTTTATAGTCACATTTTCACTGAACCCATATTCATATTCTATCAGGCCAATCTCAGCCAGTTCAGGGTTATCTTTTGAAACACTTTTGGAGGAAGTTGTATTTTTGATATAAATTGGTCACACTCCCTTTTGGCAATATTATTCTATGAATGTATACTAAAGCCTCACTATACTTCAAATTCCATGTACGGAAATACCAGTTTCGGGGAAGAAAAATTCCAAATGGTGCTCTCAGCAGAGATCTCAATCTGCCAAATGACAAGGAGTCAAATGCAGTGAGTCAAACAGCTGTTCAACCTGCTTTGTGCCCAGAGGCATCCAATTCCTGGCCAGATTGGCCTGAGGATATAGGAGTAGGGAGTGTGTGCAGAGATAATGGATTTGAGTTGAATTTTTATTATTTTTCTCCTGGATCTAGTGCTTACCCAGAACTCATAATTATGTATTTATATTTATACTATTATAGAGCTATTTTTGTACCTGGAAAAAATGGTCCAATTCGGAAATTGGTTGAACAATATAAAAAGTGTCTTGGTAGATACATAACCTATAAGTTTACATGCATATCTTCAAAGCATGCTGTCCCTGCATTCATGGTGGTTCTCCATTATTTCAACCATGTCAGCCTGCCAACAAGGAACAAACAGATAGGTTGTTTCTTTGTTTGTTTAATTGGCTATATTGTTTTCACTCCTAGACACTAAAAACTAGTCTTTGATGGTGACTATTAGAAACAACTCACTCAACTTTCTCTGTGGCATTTAGGTCTATTTCTTTCTTATAAGAAAGTGGATGAGGCTAGGAAAAGAAAGTAATTCAAAATATTTGAAATACAATGGTACTATTTAAGAGGAAAAATTAAACTTGGACCTCTCCTAAGATATCTGCTTCATTTTAAATAGCTTACTCTGTGAAACATGTTACTTTTTGGAATAAACTGGTCCAGGGGTGGTAGGTGATATGTATTCTCCAAAACTTCCAAGTCAGTAGTAACAAAACTGAGTTGAGAATGAAGGTCCCCTGACCTCCCAGATTGATGTGTTTTTTTTTTTTTTCCATCCTCTAGTAAAGAATGAAAGTTGATTTTTCTTTTTTAAAGTTGGTAATTGACAAACTCAAGAGTTTAGAGGTGACAGAGATACTGGATCCAGTATAAGTAGAAAGAGTCCTAATTCTGGGGTATCACACTATAGAACAATATATAATATGAAGAATATAGAAGAATGTATTTCCCAGACCCATGACTGTGAAATAAATCTTAACTATCATTAACTTTTAGTTTTGAAATGATACTTTTTGTGTACCACCTGAAATATAATCAGTGCTTATATTTAAAACTTCCCAGAGAATTGACATAATACTCAAATAAGAGAAACAAATATACAAACCAGCAAATGCAAAAAAAAAAAAAAAAAAAAAAAAAAAAAAAAAAAAAAGTATAAAGGCAACAATAGAAAGGTTTACAGAGACAAATTTCCCCAGCTGAGCCAAAGTAGCCATCTCAGAAGATGACTTCTCAGAATACAGGGAAATCAAAAACAACTCTTAGTATCTCAAAAGTTTTAAGGCCAATATGTAAATTCATCTCTAATATGGGCTATGGGTTAAGCTAGGCATATAACACAATTTACCTCCAATGCTGATGGATAATTTTATTAGGTATAGAATTATAGATTTGCATGTTTTTTCTTTTGGCATATTTTGTTTTCTTCTGGTTTCCATTGTTTATGTAGAAAAGTTAGCTATTGAGTAACTATCTATTGTCTATCTATTTTCTTTGATTTCCTTAGAGATGTTATCTTTGTTTTTGTTTTTCCATAGTTTTACTATGATTATCCAGATCTGTACTATGCAGTATAATAATCACTAGCTATATGTGGTTATTTAATTTAGATTTCATTAATGCAAATAAAATTATAATTCAGGTCCTCAGTTGCACAACCACATATCAAGTAGTCAGTAGCCACATGTGACTAGCAGTTACCACTTTGAATTATAAAGAATAGAACATTTCAATCATTGTACAAAGTTCTGAGCAGTGCTGCTATGGATTATTCCTTTTTATTTTCTGTACTAAGATTTATTTGGTTTGTATATTTGCAGAATTGTGCCTTTCATCAGTTCAGGGAATAATTTAGCCTATTAACTCTCCAAATACTGCTTCTTCCCATTCTGTCTCCTCTATAAATATAATTAAAAATAATTTGGAACTTCTCACTATATACACCATGTATCTTACCCTCTTTTGTATATCATCCTTTTGGCCTTCTAGTCTTTATTTTAGATATTTTCTTCTGGCTTACTTCCAGTTCACTAATTCTTTAGCTATGTAAAATCTGCTATTGAAACTATTCATAGGATTCTTCATTTCATTAGTACATTTTTTAGTTCTAGAATTTATCTTTGGTTTATTTTCAAATAGTTTAGTATCTAGTTTTATCCTGAAATTTTATATATTTATTTACATATTTAACAAAATTATATTTAATTGTTTAACATTCTATCTCTATCTCCTTGAACATAAAGTAGCAATTATTTAAGAGTTTTTATTTGATAATTCAAATATCTGGCCTCTGTGGATACATGTTATCTGTTTCATCTGCTGATTCTTTTTTATGATGTCTTATATCCTCAACAATTCTGATTATTTTTGCATAAAAAAAGTTATATTTAAAAATGTATGTATAGAAACAGTTTGAGGCCTAAGATATCATCTTTACCTTGTGAGGATTTTCTGATGCTTCTGCCGGGCAATGGCAATATGGATCATCTTAATACAATTGTAGGAATTCAAATTTCTGGGTCTTAGATGACTCAAAGCTGTGTTGTAACACAGTGACAGTTGCATTAATTCTGGTTTACTTTAGGCTCCCTATTTTTTTTTTTTTTAAGTCTAAACCAAAGTATGCAGGATTTACCATAGTCCTGTCCATACAAGTTTTATGTCTTCCCAGAACATTAAGGCTATCAGAGCACTGCTCAGTCTCTCAACCGTGTCTTCTGGACAGGGAAATACCCATCAGACAAAAGCTGTCACAAAATACTAATTGCCTCTTTAGACATATTTCTTCTCCTTAATATTGAGAAGGTTATTTTTCACCTTCTTGATAACTCTCAGATGGCTTTAAGTAAATGTTTTTACATTTTTCTCCAGTTGCTGTAGTTATCATTGGTAGTATTGACACTAATTATATCAACTACCATAAAAAGAAGCATAGTCTCATACACATGTTTAAAAATTATTTTGGAATCATTTTAAATGCACATACATGTAAGAAGAGTACAGAGAATCCCCATTTCTTCTTTACCTGGCTCTTACTAATGTTAATATCTTACAAAGCCACCATGCATTTAGTCAAATGCAAGAAATTAACATTGTCAAAAACTAGTCAAAACTAAGAAATTAACATTGATACATTATTTTGATACATGATACAAGATTTCATTCATATTATCATCAGTGTTTGTTTTGTTTTCTGGGATCCAGTTTGGGATAATATATTGCATTTAGTCATTGTGTCTTCTTAGTGTCCTCTGATTTCTGAAAATTTCCTAGTCTTCCCTTGTTTTTCATGACCCTGATCACTTTTAAGAGCACTGGTCAAGTGTTCTGTGTCATATTACTAATTTTGCCTTCTCTAATGTTTTCTCATTATTAGACTGGGCTTCTGGATTTTGGGGAAGAGTACTAGGAGGTGAAACTGTTTTC